TCCTTAAGTTTGATGGAAATATCCAGCTGGATTTCACACAGTGATATTTCATTAGTGGATAATTGTTGGGTCAATATGCCTGTTATTCGTTTTGTTTTGCTCATTGGTTGTGCTTTTTATACTCTGCTTTTTCAGTAACTTGCACTTTGCACAACAAAATGCTCAACAGCTTACCCGAACAGAACATCATTGGTCAGAAATTGCATTAAATGAGAGCAGAGGACCACAGGAGCCTGTGGCTGGAATGGCAGAAAGGTGAGGGAGCTCATTCTCCTCTATTTATCCCCAAACATATGATCTCTTTCTCTGAAACATGACCTGTAAGTTAGGCCTTCTAATTAGAAAAAGTAACTAGAAAGTTGAAGCAGGAAGGCACCTAGACCTGAGCTGCTCTTGGTTTTCTCCCATACTCTGACCTGTCAGTGTAATAGGGAGCAAAAATTCACTCAGAGCATTAAACATCTTTCAGATGGAGAAACTGCTGGTGAGAGGGAAGTGTGTATGCCTCGCTATGCTGCCTCCAGACCCTGGCTGGAACTGGGGCTGGATTGTGTCATACACAGGAACACATGCAGCTGTGAGGAAGGAGGAGTACAAGGAGGAAGCAGAGGAAGAGACCCTCTTCCCTCTTGTACCCCACATGCAGAAGCGGCAGTGCTGCAAGCAGGAGAGAGGCACCAGAGCTAGGAGTGGGAAAGGGTGACAGAGGAAGCAGGGGGGCACTGAAAAAGCCTAGTGGGTGTCCCAGTGCCAATTCAGTGCCATGTCCCCTGCAAAGCTTCCCTCCCAGCCCATGCCACCCACTTATCCAACCCCTCACGAGGTGCTGTGGTCAAAGGGGCCTGCTGGCTGTGCAGTCATTAGTGCAGGTTTCAAAGAAGGTCAAAACAAAAACACAGTGATGAAGTGGGAGTTTCTGTACCAAGTGCCAAGTGAACCTGTAAGGTTAGTTTAGTCTTTAACGAAATTCCTGCTTCAAAGTCTTCCTCTCTTTTCCACTGGGGACCTGTGCTTTCTTTAAGCAATATTTAGAGAACACCAGTCTGCAAGGGTAATCATTGACGCCTCTGGCAGAAACGGCTCATGCACTAGCATTTCTAAAAAGTCTCTCTTTATGAATAATTGAATTTGTCTCTGGAGTTCAAGATTTCTTTTTCTGTGCGACTGACTGTAGCTGTGCTTGCTCCTTAGGTACAGTTACTGTAATTGAGGCAGAAGAAATGTATTGCAGTGGAGGGTTTTGTGAGCATGACGCATAATAGGGTGATTGCGATGGAAAGAGTAATTTGCAGTGTTTAAAATACTTCCTCCAGTGGTGAGAAGATCTGCATAAAATTATTAAAGGATCTCCCACTGCCATCCTCTGCTCCCACCTGAATGGAAAAAAAAAATTAATGCTGCATGAGATGTTCCGGTGCAGTGGGCACAGCCCCTCTCTGCAGAATACTGCCAAGGACCCATCCTCGATGATATTCAGAGCCCATATGTTCCTGACACCACCTGGGACACAGGGAACTATCAACCAGGTCAAATGCTCGTCCAGACTAAAAGAAAACACTGTGGTTCACACATCCACTGACAAGGGATGTCATTTGCTTGGGCACAGTTTCTTTTCCTCTGAAACCTACCAGCCTTGCAGTGATTTCTGGGTGTCTCTGGATGGCAGGAAAAACCTACACATCCCAGATCTCAGACAATCATCCCTGTTGCTTCTCCACCAAGGAAAAGCCAAATACAGGTACGTCCTCCTTCCAGCTGCCAACAAGGTCCATTATCCCTGGATACGTTTCATAACTCCTCGCATCCTCAACATCCATAACCTCGCATGTAACATCCAACTGTGGCATTTGCAAAGCTGCCTGTAAGTAACTTTCAGGAAAGGGGTAGAGGAGGGAAAAAACTCTCACAATAATTTGCTGTGAGCCGGGCCTCAAGCCTGGCTCCAGGGAAGACATATCTCCCTGCCAACACATGAGATAAGTGGAGTGTCTCAGGATGGGTTTTGCCATCATTTGTAGAGACAGGGTTATGCTGTTCATGCACATGAATGTCAGCAGCAGGATGACTATTTCAGGACCTAGGCTTAAGGTAGGAATGGGGGCAAAACACAGCTCTGAATGGAACAAAATTCCATCATGCTGGGAGGTTTCTTTCTTGTCTGTCTTTAATCACCAAGCACAGCAACAGAGCTGAGTGGCTGCATTCAGCCAACACAATGAAATTTGGCAGCAGTATATTTTTAGGATATTATTTCAAGGGGGGAAACAAATTCTAAGGGCAAGATACTGTGATCTAGAAACTCAAACAAGCTGCTCAGGTATTTCTTTGTGTCTTGAATATGCCACACAGCACTTGAGCTGTCTTTTCAATTTGGGATGTGTGTTTCAGATCAATAAAAAATCTCATTCAAGACAAAATACATTCTCTCATGGTACAAAGCTTGCATGACCTGATCAGCAGGAAAAGCTAAGGTAATTGCAATCATAAATGAAAATCCAAATTTTAGACTGAAGTCAGATTTTCTTGCACTGTAGTATCTGCAGGTAATCTCTGTGTTCTTTGTGGTCTTTACTCTGAAGTGGAAACCAGAACATATCCCTTTAGTATTTTACTCCCTTCTGTGGCTGTCAATTACCATGGCTTGAATATTCTGTTCATCCTCAGCTTCAGGACTTCTTGATCATCTGGGACAGATCTTTCTCTGTCAGATTTCTGAATGACAAGCAGAGATTTCATCCCCGAGAAAATTCCTTTAGCAGTAACCTGGGCATCCAGTGCATTTCCTACAAGTGCTCTTAGTACATTCCATCAGGTAGAAGATCAAAGCAAACAAAAAGACTGTGCAGCAGCATTCATTCTCCAAAAGATGTGGAGCCCTGACGTAGCCTGGCCAGCACTATCAGCTCCAGCTGGAGCCTATTTAAATGTGACATCAAAATTTTGCATATGCACAAATTAGGGATGTGGTTAACACCTGGCAGGTCATCAAATAGGAAAATAATCAGAGTCTGTCCCTTTTCTCGGCTGTTTTATGGCCTGGAAAGGCTCGGAGATGGCCTTGGGCAGCCCGCGCTTCAAAGGACGAGAAGAGGCTTCAGGTCTTTCTCGGACTTCAGTATTTATTAGTTGTTTATCTAAAAGTTTTTCTCTCTGCCCGACAGAGGTCCGCACAGCAAGTCAGCCATGTGCACACTGCGAGCCCCCGGGGCGGTCACTTATCTTTATACTCAAAATTACGTATACAATATTTACCTATTCTTTCCAATACCTTTTACCCTTATTGACCGGTGCACTTTTAGTAATAACCAATCCCAAAGTGCCACCATCACCACAGAAGATGGAGGCCAAGAAGAAGAAGAAGGACAGGACATGCCCTAATTCCTCCATCTTACTTCTCTAGACCCCCCTGTACAGAAATCCTAAACCCTGTGTTTTACACTTTAATTAACTTATCCCTTCACCATTTACCCCAGTGAAATCCTCCCATCCTCATACAGATGTCGTCTCCCGTGTAGGATCAAAGTCCAGCCACCAGACACTTCTGGCAACATTCCAGGACTCCCGAGCCCCCCAAGGGTGGTCTCGGTCACTCTGCACATCAGTCCTGAGGTGCTGAGATCCCACAAGAGTCCTTCTTTTTCACCTTTTCCTTTGTACCTTTCATTCTGGAGGTATGGGGAGCTCCATGGTTAGCAAAAGTTGGCAGTCAGGAAAAGACATGTCAGGACTCAGCTCAATCAAGGACTCCCTCCTGAGGGAGGGCACTGCTGGTAGAGAGAGGTGCCTGTTTAAGGGACTGTGACACTTACTTTCTCTTCCCCAAGGAATGGGCTGGAATAGGCTCTGTCACATAGTACAAATGGTAGGTTGTCCTTGGGCCCCAGAGGATGGAGCTATCAGGGGCACCAAGTGTCCTGCCCATCCATACTGCCAAACATCCACACTGTGAAGAGCCAGCACATAACACATATCCATGCTGTCTACGTGAGGTGTCCTGCCCTGCTCTTTGGCTCGGGGGAAAGAACAGTGATAAGCAAGAACTCAAACCTCTTTCTTTCTGTAAAACTGCCAACAGCAGCAAATTTGCATGACCTGTCTGCAATGAGATGCTTTTCTGGCAGGTCTGTGCCTAATTCATGGAAATACAGTGTGTTTCCAGGACAGCTCAGAAGGATGTACAGGTGACTTGCAATAAAGACAGGTGACAGGACTGTCAGGAATCATGCCCCTCCACCTGAGGGTGCTGCCATTAACAAAACTGGCAGCTGAAGGACGTTAACCACACCAAGGGACATTGTCACATGTGATATTGCACTTCATCACACCACAGAAAATAATTGGTGTTCTTCTTAGGAAGAAAAAGGAGGGGGAAAAGTGAATGTAGAAACCCTTATTTCAATCTGTATTTATTTCTGGAGATTGTTTATGATGTTTTGCTGTGTTTTTAAAAGATACTTAGTGTAGAGAGTACAGAAATAGTATATGTGAGACTAGCACATGAAGTAAATGAAGAAAAAAAGAAAATCAGCTTTTTTGTATGCTATCTACCTTATAGTACACAGAGCATACAGAATCATCAGTGTTGGAAGAAACCTTCAAGACCAATTCCAACAGCAAACCTGGCATCACCATAATCACCCCTAAACCACACTCCCAAAAATTATGTATTCAAACTTAGGTACCTGGTATATTTTTGAGAGTGTGTAAATCAGTAAACTGCTTACTCTGAGTTAATCTGAAAAGACAAAGGAAAAAAACATTGTTTTCAACATGGGCTAAAATGTAGGTAATGCTTTTGTCTTAAAAGTTTTACAAGATGTACTTATTTTATCACTCTAGCAGGAAACTGAGGCTTTTGGTTTAATGAAGCATTTCTTTGAAGTCATGCTGAGTGACTGTGCTGCACATCTGCCTGTCTGCACAGGGCGGGCCATTTCAACTTCCTTTTCTGAAGGAGCACCAAGACAGCTTCATATTCACCAGAACTTCATCAAGTGAAGATGAAAGCAAGGTGGCTTTTCTCTCTCTTTTGTTTGCTCTCAATGCCCAGTGTCATAGGTAAGAGTGTCAGGGGGACATCTTGACTCAGTTTATGATGGTGGGTGGTGAGGGGCAGGATGGGATTAGTGGGTCTTACTAGGCCGAGCTGTAGTTACTGGCAATGGTTTTCTATTTCCTGACAACTTTCTAATAACCCTAGTTATAATGTGCAGCTAGTAAGGAGTAAATGCCTTGTGCTGAGCAGATTACTTAATTCAATATGCCTAACCTGCTGGAATAATCACTGGGATGAGCTCACTTGAAGTAGGGGATTGTGTGCTCCTCTCAAATGGGCCAAAAGGAAAACTTCTTTCAATGGGAAAATAAAAAATACCCCTCTGTCTCTGTCTTACATACCTGTGTATGCAGAGAGAGGAAGAATTGAAACCCTTCAAGGCAAGAGTAAATTGTACAGGTGAAACTTCTTAAACAGATTCTTCCCTTCCTCTTCTCCACCTAGCCCCATGTGCTAACATCTAGAGAAACAAGTTTGACATTCAAGTAAAACACTCAGAAAAGCTGACTAAGGAGACCTGTACCTTTGTCAGAGGAATTTAAACCAAAAGCAATCTGAGAAAAACCAAGAAAAAGTATGATGTTCACAAAGCCCCACCCTCTCAAAATTCTGACCATGATAAATGCAGGAATATTTATTACCAGCTAGGAACAACAATTTTGTAGGATACACAATTTTCAAGTTAAGAAGGGAAAAACTGGATGTATTTGACTAGCAGTGAAGGATGCATCTCACAATCTGGCATAGGCTGATCTTTTTTGCACTGAGGCAAACTGGTTCTTAAAAATAATTCATACATGTATTCATAGAAAATAGAAAATCTCAAATGCAAAGAAAGGAATAGAAGCCTCAAAACATGCACATGTAAGAAAGAAATAGCAATTACAGAAAAATAGGAGTTGGAGGGGTTTTTCCTCTGAGATGAAATCCTCACTGAAGTCATTCAAAGGTGAAAGTGGAAGCCTCTATGCCCTTTGTGGAGATCAGACACCAAAATGTCTGGGAGTTACTCTAAGAAATTTCAACTGGAGCACAGGTATGCACTACTGGACACTATTTGATTTTGAAAAATAAAGTCAGCATAAAATGAGATTGCTTATTTTGGGATGCTATCAAAAAGTTAAGAACACTTTTGCACAAAATGTTTTCAGTTAAAACAATCTACTGCACTAGGCTACTAAGATATAATGCAAATTAAAATGTTGTTTCTACATATATAATTTTTTCAACTTAATATAAATTACTCAAGTGGCTCTTCATAGGTGTTCTTTATATGATCCCTAGACCTAAAGCAGCATCAGCATGAATATGAGAGACAAAATGCTGTGTGTCTTTTGCTTGATAGTCTGATTGCAAGATTCCTAATTGCTTTTCCCTTAACTTTTACTGATGCAAAACTTGTGGTGAAATCAGAGAGCATTTCCTATAATAAGCTCCTTGCGCTGACAAAAATAGTTTTAGTAATTTTTCTCACAGCACAAGGCCATGAGATTTGTCATTCAGGCTTATTTTTATTTAACCTCTAACGTCACCACTTCTTTTAGAATAAAAGATGAGCAGAACATGTGCAGCAATGAAACAACAGAGATTAATGTAGGCCATGGCCATTGAGTAGCTTTGTTCTCCACACATCTAGTCTCCAAGTGTCCATGTCACCCACCCCTCAGTGTACAGGTAACAAATCGGAGCCAGCTCTAAGAGGATGTATCACTTTGCCCTTGTGCCTTCTCTCCATCAAGCCAGAGCTGAGGGTGCACAGTCCCTGCCTGGCTCCTTCCTGGCTGAGCTGGGGGAGTGTGGGGCACACTGCAGCCCCACTGAGAATGCCTAAGCTCAGGCGCCCCAGAGCCAAATACCACACAGCAAAGCCAATGTCAAAGCAAAGGAATTGGTACCCAGCTTTTTCAAGGAAAGAAGGTGAGCAGTGGGCACTTGCAGCTGGCAGGACTGCAGGGCAAATTCCCAAAGCAAATATACAGAGATGTTATGGTACAGAGGGAGGATGATAAAATGGAATATAAATGGGAGGCAACAAGTCTCTACCTAAGGACAACTGCACAACTCCTTTTTGTACAGGGGACTTTTTGTGTACGGCTCTATGGAAGTGATTGATTACTTTTCTCACTGCAACAACCCTCTCCATAAATTCTTCATCTCCTTGAGTTTGTCAGTGCCCTGCATTCAGGGGTTTGGGGACTGCCAGACTCTTACTCATAGGAGGGAGAAAAGGATATAAATCAATTGTACTACAACAGCAGCTAAACCAAGTGGTACAGGCTCCTGCTGAATGCCCCTTCATTCCATCGATCCATTACTCCTTTATATGGTGCACTAAGGACTGCCACCTGCTTTAGGAAATTAACAGAGGAAGAAAACAAACACCAGAGCAGCTCACTTTGACACTGAGACAGACACTGGTTTAGGACATGCAGGAGCTGTTTAATAACACAGAGAATTGCTTTCTCTGCTGAAGCCACAAAGGCAGTGGGCAGGGGGATGGTGCAGGGAATTAGCCAGTGGGGATAACCTATTTGTTCTTGTAAAAAGAACTGGGGAATAACTGTGTCCAGCTTCTGCTTTATTTATATTACTTGAAAGATTTTCATTTTCACAGAGACCCTCAGAGCTCTCATTTCTCTCCAAGAAGTGTGACAGGACCTCCCTGCCATCTTCCAGACACACATGCATTTGCTCTCCCAGTTTTCTCTCTGCAGTCTGTACTGGTTGGAGATTTGCTGGAAGTTGTAGGGTCTTTACAGTTGTCTACGGCTAAGGCACCAAATCAAAGATGGATTAGGAAAAGCTTTGTTTAAAAATTACTTGCACTGAAATTGATCTTGTCTTTTTTTTAAGGCCAGACTGCAGATGTCATTACCCAGACAGAAGTGGTCCACGCTCCACCAGGTACTGACATCACCCTGGTGTGTGCGTTCCCAAAATTGCACAGCACCCACATCATACAGACACAGTGGTCCAAGACTGACGGCAGCCCCTCTACCAAAATAGCTGTATATCACCCCACCTATGGCACCCATTACTTCAAGTTTTTTGAGGCTCTGTACAACTTTTCAGTGTCCTTCAGCACATGGATACGCTGCAGTGGTGATGACACAGGGTCCTCGTGTTCCACCAATCCAAATGCCATGTCTGAATGCAATTGGTGGGTGCTGCACCTGGAAAATATTACCGTGTCCCTTACCAGGCAGTACGAATGCACTTTTGCTACCTACCCATATGGGACAAAGGCTGCAAAAATTCAACTTATTGTCAAGGCAGAAGGTAAGTGATTGCAAATGAGATTTTGTTGTTTCCTAGTGAGGTGGGGGAGAATATCAGGATAGATGAACACTTCTTGGTTGGTGATGGTGATTTGTTTGGGATTCACAGTAGTGCCACTGAATGTTGCTTTTACAGTTTCCTATTTACCAGGCACTCTTTAGTTCTTTTTTCCAACTCATTATTAGGAAACCTTAATTGTTTGGTAGAATTAAAAAGTTTGATAGCAAAGTAAAAAAAGGTGGTGAGGTGGGCAGTTTCTGCATTTTCATTTTGGAGAAACATTGTGGGGGAGACTGGATGAGCAGCTCAGGATATGGTGGGACTAAGGATGTTGGATCTTCAAATCATGTGGTGCTGCTGCTGTGGGTGTGCAGCACTGGGCACCAGAAAGAGAAAACACCCTTGTCTGATTGAGGCTGAGGGCTGGCATCTGCAGAACATGCTGAGTGTTTGTTCCATGGAAGGATGAGTGTTGCCACTGACACCTTGTGAAGGCTGACCTAGAACAGAGGATAGACAGAGTTAAAGAATAAAGTAGGTATTTATTAAAAGGCCTCAACAAGGTGCCAGGATACATCTTGGGCAGTATAAGAGCCCAAAAAGGGCTGCAGCCAAGATGAACCCAAAATGGTCGACCAGTCACGAGGTCTCACATTTTTATAAGTTTTGGTCCATTTGCATATTCAAGTTAATTGTCCAATTATAGTTTTAGGTTATGAAGTCCCATCCTTCTTGTTTTTCTCTCTTCAGCCCACATTGTTTATGCTCTTGGGCCTGAAACTAATATCGATTGTCCGTGGTCCCAAGCTGGAAAAGGAATTGTTTTGTCTACCTACTCTGTGAAGAGAGTTTGCCAAGCCTTAATATGAAGTTCAGAACTACACACTAAAGCAGCACAGAATCTGAAAAATATAAAAGTTAAAACTTAAGGCATCACCACCACCAAAAAGACACTGGAGCAAAGTGGGGAATTGCATAGGAGAATCACAGGAATGGGGATTTGGCTGCTTCTGTCAGGCAAAGGAAGCTGGAAAGCAGTATGACTGCTCTCAGTAAGTAAGCCTCACGGCACAGTCTGAACTCCAGGAAGGATATTTAAATTATCGTGGTAAAGTAACAAATTTATTTAAATCAGATGAGAATGGATTTGACAACAAATTAAAAAACAGTGGCAACTGTCAGTGTAGCAACTTTGGGAACAGCTATTTGGTGACAGCAGTGAGGGCAAAAGCCCAAACTCCTGTGAAAATGGAACCTGGCATGAGTGTTGAGCAAGTCTGTTGTTGTGCACATGGGGAACTGGATTTGATGACCTCAGAAACCTCTTTCTGACCCAGGTTTCTGCTAACAACTCAAGAAGAATTAAAGTAAACAGCAAATCTGGCACTGTTTCAGTTCAGATCTGCAAGGCCAATGTGCTCACTCTGCATGGGCCCAAGGCTGTAGACAGAGGAGACGTTCAAGAGTTAGGAGCAGGGTGGGTGCAGGTCATTTTAGGGGCATTTTGGTGTGCTCCCACTCTCCTTTTACCTACATCACAAGGCCAGACTGGTAGTCCCCACTCTGGACTGTGTTACTCCTGTAGCAAGAGGAGGTCCTGTGCAAGACTCATACTCAGGGATGTTTGACACTGATGGCACCTGCATGGCAGTGACTCCAAGAATTTTGGTGCTGTTATCCTGGAGACATATCTGGACCAACCCTGTGGCACCTGCCTGCCCTGATGAACACACAGAGGCAAAGAGTCAATACCTCTGCCCAGCTCACAGAGGATCGGTGTGTTTAAACAGTACATGCTGAATAATTGTGCCAAAGCTGAAGCTGCCACTCTGCCTGCTGTATAGGGGTGTGTTGTGGTAGGCTACCCTTTTGGAATTTCCTTGTGCTCCACAGGGCAGAGGGATCACAGAATCACAGAATTTCTAGGTTGGGAGAGACCTTTAAGATCATCGAGTCCAACCCATTTTCTAATACCTCAACTAGATCATGGCACCAAGTGCCTCATCCAGTCTTTTTTTAAACACATCGAGGGATGGTGATTCCACCACCTCCCTGGGTAGATGATTCCAGTATTTGACCACTCTTTCTGTGAAAAACTTCCTCCTTAATTCTAGCCTGTATCTCCCTTGGTGCAACTTGAGACTGTGTCCTCTTGTTCTATCTGTTGTTGCCCAGAGAAAGAGACTGACCCCCAGCTCACCACAGCCACCCTTCAGGAAGTTGAAGAGAGTGATAAGATCACCTCTGAGTCTCCTTTTCTCCAGGCTGAACAACCCCAGCTCCCTCAGTCATTCTTCATATGGTTTGTGTTCCCAGCCCCTCACCAGCCTCGTTGCTCTCCTTTGTGTCACTCAAGTGTCTCAAGGTCCTTCCCAAACTGAGGGGCCAAAACTGGACACAGCACTCAAGGTGTGGCCTCACCAGTGCCGAGTAAAGGGGAAGAATGACCTCCCTGCTCCTGCTGGCCACACCATTCCTGATACTGGCCAGGATGTCTTTGGGCTTCTTGGCCACCAGGGCACACTGCTGGCTCATGTTCAGCCGACTGTAAACCAGCACCCCCAGGTCCCTTTCCACCTGAACACTGTCCAGCCACACCATCCCCAGCTTATAACGTTGCAGGGGGTTATTGTGGCCAAAGTGCAGGACTTGGCACTTGGACTTATTGAACTTCATCCCATTAGATTCTGCCCATCCATCCAACCGTTCCAAGTCCCTCTGCAAAGCCCTCCGTCCCTCTAACAGATCAACACACGCTCCCAGCTTAGTGTCATCTGCAAATTTGCTAATGAAAGACTCTAAACCCTCATCCATGTCATCAATAAAAATATTAAACAGAACTGGCCCCAGCACAGACCCCTGAGGGGCACCACTGCTGACTGGCCGCCAGCTGGATGCAGCACCGTTCACCACCACTCTCTGGGCCCGGCCATCCAGCCAGTTCCTAACCCAGCACAGAGTGCTCCTGTCCAAGCCATGGGCTGCCAGCTTGTCCAGGAGTATGCTGTGGGAGACAGTGTCAAAGGCCTTGCTGAAATCCAAATAAACAACAACAACATCAAAGGGAGTGCAGAGAGGTACAAACTGTGCTGGTAGCCCTGTGAAACCCTCCCATGCTTCTTCTGTTCTTCATGCAAAGTTTCTCACTTTCTAGTACAGCAATTGAGCTAATCAGGTATCGCTTTTCTTCTCCTGCCCTTGGTTGATATAGACAAGCTCAATGCTGTTATTGCTGTCTACAGTTTGGGCAGCCCTTGTTCATATCAGCATCACTGTGACTTTTTTCAGTAACTACAAGCTGTAGCAAGCTATACTACTGATGACTGCTTGCCAGAAAGAACTAAAAAATTGAGTTTGCCACCTTTTGCAGGTTTGTGTTTTAAGGTAACCAGATCTTTTTCAATAAACCACTCTGACTCAAAAGAAGGCAAAAAACCTTAAACCAGCCTATGAGTGAATGGGATGAATAAAGGTGACAGTCTATGATGAAGTACAGTTTTCATTTACATCAAAGAGAAGTGAATCCAGATGCACTCAACTTGTAAAAAGCTCACAGAGCAGCAGGCCTTTGTAGGACAGACAGACACAGAGGACTTTAGCCAACAGGCTGTTAATGGAGATGGGAGTCAGAGATAGGAGGGGGAAGCAAGTAGCTGGGACATGTGACTGTGAGAGTAGGCAGAAGATGTTTCCAGACTGGACTCTGGGATGACTGCTCATCTCCACGCTTGTACTCTGCACGGCACTTTTGCATGGTGGCTTGTCCCAGCAAAATCTTCTGTACAGTTTTGTTCCTGGAGAAACTATAGACTTGCTTGCTTTGTCTTTTCATTATCCTCTCTGCACTACCCAGCCCTGTTAGGGCTTCTGTGCTCTCTGTCCTGCTGCAAAAGCTGGCTCCCCAGGTCCTTCAGTCTCAGGGACAGTGAAGGGAAGCTGCTTCTGCTGCTGGCTCTCCCAGGCACAGCTCAGGGCACTACCTTTCTTCACATCTCTGTGGCACAGGCTACATGCTGGCGCCATTGCTCTGTGCTTGGGTGCCAGGTACAAAGGAAATTTCAGTCACCAAAAAGTCCCCACTGACAAATAACATGGCAGTCTGGGACAGCTGGATATTTTCACTCCCCTCAAGATAAAAAATAAATTAAATACATACCTCTTCTATCTCAACATGCAAGCCAGAGCTACCAGGACAGCAGAGCTGAGGAGTTTTCCTGTGTTGAGTGGCAAGGGAGGATGGCAGGATGGGCCACATCCCTGCCTGCCCCATGGCCAAGGGTCAGAGAGGTCTGTGCTGACCATGGCCCTCACAGCATCTCCCACCCAGCACCACTGCTCTTCCTGCTTAAATACACACATGCACACTCACAGACCCAACATCTGGATCACAGCAATGCACTGTTCACTGCACCACTCTGGTCAGCCTCTGCAGCTGGATGGAGCCCTGGATTGAGGATAGGTAGGGTAGGAGGTGGAGAAATGGCTTTTGAAATGGATAAGAAAGGAAAGAGTGACAAGTTTGGTGTTAGTGGGCAGGTTGGAGAATAACAAAAGGAAAAACAGGGTTAGTCCTAACCTAACTGACATGCTGAATAGCTTGCTTAGTGAAAAAAGGACATCTGCAGATATCTTCAGAGAAAAGGAAATAGAGGTGCACAAAATTGATGTGAAGGTTTATTGCCACAGAAAAAAAAAGAATTGTAACATAAAAATTGTAGCTTCCGATTATTCTCAGCTCTGAAAAGAGACATCGTGATCCTGCAGTTAAGAAAAGCTTTTTTTAAGAATTGCCAAGAAATTCTGGTAATGCTGTGAATTGAGTCATGAAACTGCAACTAGAATCGGATGTAGGGCTTTCACTTGAAAAATGTGTGTAGGGGTAATGGTTGAAAATTACAGTTCCCTTCTAAACCAAGAAGTGCCTGCTCCTTGAATAGAAGACTAGTCAGCATTGGTTTTCAAAGCACAATGAACATCATGTTTCTGATTTTCCTTCTTGGGTTTTGTTGTTGTTGTTCCAATGATAAAAGAGGAGAGGCACTACCTGAAGAAAGTGTGGTTAAAGCAGACTTTAGAAATTCCATGCCTTGAGGATGAGACCTCAGAAAATTTGTCCACTTATCCTTTGAAATGGCTAGTGGTAAGTATTTTTCATCTCAGATATAAAGTTCAGAAAGAACTGCAGGGTATTTTTGCAGATTGAAATGAAAATGTGCTACTCCACTGTGTCCTGCTTGCAGAATCTGCTAAAAAACTTATCAGACATATTGGACTGTGATAATAAAGGGGAAAAGTATAACCATAGAATTGCAAAATATACACTGCAAATAATAACTGTTAAAGAAGCAAAGAGGAAAAATTCCATCTTAATTGCTTTATTGCTTTGAATTTTTCAGAAGCACATAGCAGGTTTAGGGAAAGTGGCTAATATAACAAAACAAAAAGATTTCTTGTATTGGTTTTCCAGCGAGTTTTTTTTGTAGTGAAGCTTTAGTATCTGAAAAATGCATGATTACTGTGTAGGATAGTGAGATAGGCTGCTCTGACATAGAAAAGAAAGGTTCTGGCTAATGTTTTTGGTTTTGTGAACTTCTGTGTCACAGAGGCCACTGAAGACATGCAAACCCAGTTATCAAGCTAACCACATAAAAAAACTGTTTTTAAGCAATTTTCTGTCAGATACAAAGCTTGCTGTATTTTTGTACTTTATCTCACTTTCTGGATATATATTTATATGCATGTTTTAATGCAACCTTTTAGCATTCGTATCAGTGTGTGTGTGGAGATAAGTATCAGTGATCAGTGTCCTTGAGTTTTCCTGTTCATTTAAATATGCTGTCACTGAGAAACTGTAACTGTTGAGGATTTCCTTGAAGGTGATTTTTAAATAGTTTTGGTTTTTTTAACCTTCTGTCCTGGTTAATTATCTACTTAGATCTCCCTTCCGAAGGTCATTCTTAATATTAAAATTTAAATCATTTTGTAGAAAACACCCTTACCTTTACAATGTCAGTTCTGCCAGTTCCCTCTACAAAGTACCAGAGGAAAGGGGGAAAAAAACCCCCAAATATATGATATATGTGGGTTGCCACGCATTGTACAGAGTAAAGCTTGCAAATATGTACTGAGGCACAGATGTCCAGGACATGCTGGTTGTACTTATGACCTGGCTGCCACACAGATAATTAGAGACATAAATTTTAGTTATTATTATCAAGGTTCTCTACTTAAAATTCTAAAACAGCAAAGTTTTCCTCGAAATTTCAGTCACATTTAACATGTCTGTGATGTTCAGCATAACTTAAAGACTAGTGCAGTGAGAAAGCACCTCTGTTGCTCTCTCTGCAGGCTACAGAGAGCAGAACTCACAAGACACAGCTATTTACTCCATATTTTATTGTCAAGATGATGACTGCTCTTGGTATTGAAGTTCTGAGAGAGAATATATTTGGAAAAAAACCACCAGATGTTGCAAATGTCCCCTTACTGCTACACAATGTGCAAGGGAAGCTTTTCATAGTGGGAATAGAGCTGGCTTACAAAAACATTTCACTCTGTGTGTCTGAACTTCACAATTTTGTTGGTTTTTCTGTACACAGGATGAAAATGGGTGGAAAGAGGAACTTGTGACCAAGGAGCCCTCCTGTCCTGCTATGTACAGGAACAGCAGCATGCTGTACGGGCAAAAAGTCCTCCTGGGTTTGAACAACACCCTAAAGGTTTTCCCCACCAAAATCACTGATGATGGCAGAGTCTTTTCCTGCCACGTGCTGTACCACCCAGAGAGAGTCCAGAAGAGCAGCACCATTGTGAGAGTATTTGGTAAGGGGCTTATGCCAACTGCCTGCTGCCTTGCACTTGGAAAGGTGACACTCCTGCCTGGTTCTGAAGCCAAGAACTTTTGACAGACACTCTGTTTTTTTAAATGTAAACATATTCGCCTTGTCATTTTTTTCAGCTGCAATGACATAAAAAGTTAGCAAATGGTGGAGTTTACTCAATTCTTAGAAGAATTTGAGTCCCTTCCTTCAATTTCTGGCAAGAAAAAATAGTAGGTTCATTGCATATATATCAGTCTCACTGTCATGCACATGGCAAGACTCTTACCCTGATATGTAGGCTTATGTTGGGATTCTGTGGGTTACAGGGAAGCACACTGGTCATCAAGATCTCCGTGTCCCAATGACCATGCTGTCTGTGGTCAGGAAATCATAGCTGTAATTTAGTAAGCAGTTTGGAACTACAGTTGTAGCAAAATCACATCCTCAAATGCATGTGACATTCAACTGCTGCCAAAATGAGGAAATGAGTGTCTGGAAGTGAGGATCCTGGTGGGGGGTCTCAAATTGGCCAGGAGTGGCAGAGCCTGTGTACTGCAGACATGTGGGCTGGCATTTCATTTTTTGTAAGCCTTCCCCATCTTTAGTTACTTGCCCTGTCCCATTTCAAATTGCTTAGGAACTGCTCTACTATCACTAAGGTACAACTGAATCAGAAAATTGCTACCCACTTGAAAACCAGGCTTTATTTTCTCTTTAGAGATCAGTTGGTCAGGAAAACATATTTCCAAAGCTTTGAAAGTAAATGAGTATTAAACACTGGGCCTGTCAACGGTCCCTTGACTGTAGCTGACTGTCCAAGGAAGTCCACAGCTTGAGGATGGCATGGTCATTGAAGGCTGATACTCTGAAGTCAAAGGAAAGTTCAACAGGGAGCAGCTGAAAAAAGAAAATGTGTCTGAGGGTTGTTGGTCACTGATGTAAAAGGAATAAAAATAGGAGTTAATGATCTGAAACCTCCTCTTTCGTTTGCATGATTCAGACGCTTTTTAAAATCAACATTTCTCATATAGCAACAGTGTTACCTGGGTAATCATTCAAGGACACTAATATACTTGAACTCTCTCTCTTCCATCGCTGCTGATGCTCTTGCCTAGATTTGTGTGTCTCTTACTAAGAGGTTGCTTTATTTACCTTTTTCTCTGTATTACTGAGAAATATGTGCTTAGCTGTGCATGACCCCACATCAAAATATCAGTACAGCAGTGTAGAGGGGCAAACTAGAGAAAACAGCCGCGACCCTTGGTGGTGAGCAGTCTGCATTTCCCAGTAAGTGCTGGCTGGCTTTGAACCAGGATGCTGTGCCACCAGCCTCTCTCAGAGGGGTCCCAAGGGCAGAACTGGCTCCCTGAGAGCCTTGAGGTTTGCAGTGGGTGCTGAGGAAAGTCTCTCAGTTCTCAGCTAAGTAAAGTCCACCACTTGGACGAAGTGTGCTTTTGTGCTCCTAACCCTTTCGCATCTGAATTTTGCAAGTGAAATAACTATTTTGCATCTTGTCTCACTCTTTACTGTTACCATTTGCTGAAGTTGTGCCACTTATGATTGCACCATCCCAGTTTTTCTCCATGTACTCTCTTGTGCCCTGAGCCAGCCCACATCCCTGCACAGCACTGGCAGAGACACTGCCCAGGATAATCCAGCATTCCCTAGGTGACATTTGGGGACAAAGAGCCCTTTCAGATGGCAGCACCTCTCTTGTTCCTTGTGCTGACCAGAAAGTAAAGAAATTAATAATTGTGTTCTGGCAGTTAGATCCAGCCTCAAATGGGTGGGACAGAAACTAAAGGTAGTATATGCATACAAAGTCAACAGCACCTTATGTTGGTTATATCTGTCATTCTGGCCATTAGCAAGGGCACAGCTAGGGAAAAAGGCCAGTGGAAACCTGGGGAGGTTTTCCCATCTTGGCAAGCCAGCATCTCCCCTGTCACCCGAATACTCATGCAATTGAATCCCTCAGGCTGGATGTCTTAAAAGTAGGGCAGGAAGGGCAGGCAGCTATTGCAGCACAGAGCTGAAAGGGACAGGAGGAGGAAAGGGTGCCTGTGGGAAACTCCTCATGCAGGATCCCTCTGAAAAATACTTCAGGCAGAGCTAAACACAGCAGAGGCAGGCCAAGTCTGAGGAGTGACAAATAGTTTTCTCTCACAGCTGCTTGGGGTGGCCCAATGGGGCTGAGAATTGGACTGGAGAGGATGGAGAAGGTATGAAAAGATCTCTCAAGGAAGTTGAGAGTCTTGGTTTGTTGGGAAAAAACAATCATTCAATCAAGATAGCTTTTTTTAAGAGGGTGCTTTTGGATCAAAATACTTTCAAATATTTCTCTTCTAGAATAGAGTTCTTTTAAATACAATTTGCTATGAGAAGGTATGGCCTTTTCATGTGTAACTTTGCCAAATATTGATTTCTCCTTTTTGTAAAAGTTCAGCAGCAGAAACTACTGAACTAAATATTGAATTTCTCCTAGATCCAAAACATTGGTAAATATCCTAGCAAGACAAATGAATGTCAAAGTGTTAACAGGGGCTGAGATGTTAATTGGAGAAGATCTATTAGACCATTCAGAGCTATGTGTGAGAGCTGCCTGCCAGTACAGCTACCCCATAAACACATCTGAGAAAGCAGAGGATAGTGCTCAATACAGGTGTGGCAAAGCATACCTATTCTCATGATAAAAACCAAAAGGAAGAGCATGCACTAGACCAGACATCATTTAGCCTCCTGGGCAACTTCTGCAGCGATTAGAGGATCCAGTTCACGAGACTTTTCCCTGTATCTGAAAAAGTCTGTCTGTCTTCTGCCAGCTCCACTACCATCTGTACAGTTTTGGCAAAGAAGAAAGAATGAAATCTTAGGACACTCATTTCCTGATAGGAAGAATCTAAAACCCCTGCCCCACCCCACCCTCCAAAAAAAGCAGAAAAACTCAAAACCCAAAAGAGATTTTAAAAAAACAGGAAATTCCACCCAAAAAAAGCACTGTAAGTCCAGAAAATCATAAGGCCATAACAACTAAATGTAAGTCATGCCCAGGCAGAGTCCATCAGTAACATCAGGCAGAAAAATGGAAATTAAAAATAAAGTCAGGAGGGTCCTTGGTGGATTAGCTGTATAAAACAGGGAAACCTGGATAGTTCACCTCAGGGGGGATTGTAATTAACTGAGGTGGTTCTATACCAATTAACAGTAAAAAAAAGAGAAAATTATTTTAATGGTAGAGATTAAAGTGAGGTTTAGATTTAGAATTTTGGACCTCCTAAGTAATCCAGCCCAATTTCAGGGCCAGAAGCCCAATTTACTGAGGCTTCTGAGATTTGTTATACACTAACACAGTTTCAATAGTCCTTACTTAACAAGTCAGTCAATATTGTTTCAAATCAGACATCCCAATGGCTAATTTGGGAATGTAGTATAGGGAGGCTTAGGGTACCTGATAGGGTACCTGTTATATATATATAAACAATCAGCTGTGCCCAGAACCAAAATGCTGCAAAACCAGAAAAAACCAGTTATTTGTTTCATGTGGATGTGGTCATCAGTGCCCTGCTGCTCTGCTGTGAGGCTTCCTCTGGGCTTCCTGGCTAGGCAGGAAGCATCTGTGGGGACACTGTCACACATCTGTCCAGGCAACAGCATCTGGATAGCTGGCATCCAAAATCAAACATTTGGGGAATGGCTAAAGCCTTTGGAGACACCTTTGGCAAGCACACAGAGGAACCAGGAACTGGGGTACAAGTGATTTCATGGGGCCCAGTAAGGGTGGCTCTACTGCCAGAGCTGCCAGGCTCTACTGCCTGACTGCAGGATGGTTTCAGTTTGTTTCCCCAGCAAAGCCACCCAAGTCTAGTTGAGGTAGGCAGTGAAATGCATCCCAGATCCTGTGGCAATAGCTGCTAATACAGGCTTGTAAACCAATTCCTTGACCTCAAATTGCAGTTGTAACACTTTTATCTTGCTTGATGTGTGGCTGGAGGTAGGATTTAATTCCCACCCTTCTTATGATACAACGCTGTTAAGTGTTATTAGAAGCTGTTATTGTTATCTGCAGTGTCCATTTCACTAATACATTTATGTTTGCTTTCCAGCTTACCCTGAGATCTTCATTAGCTTGGAGGAGAGCTCAGCCAGCGTCTCGCAGAAGGTGAGCAATTTTGGACAAAGAGTGATGCCTGTGACTGCCACCATGCCACCCAAGCAAGGCCAGGCAAGCTGAGCTGAATCAGGCATAGGAGGCATCCACCAAACTGACTGAGCTCACAGGGCAGCAGGCAAGGCATTGAGTTAACACAAGGTGCTCACGCCCTTTCCTCTGAGCAGCTGCCGCCCCCACAGCAGTGAGCACAAGCCAGGGACTTCTAAGGACTTCTCTGCGGTGTGGGCCTCTGTTTCAGTTTTGGTAATGGCAAAACCTAAAAGCTTACTGAATTGCGCTGGCCATGCTTGGTATAAAACATATTCATGGCTCATATGACTGACTAGTAAGCCTCTCTGGCTATTAGCTATGGTGCTTTGCTTCCTGTTCCATCCCTCCAAGTTAAAACTTTTGATTGGCAAGTATCTCAAATCAAGAAGGTTTTCCTTGGAAACAGAGCTCATGAGCAGGCAGAACCTTGTACTATCCATAACCACCCACTTTACACAATCCATGTATCAGTTGATTCTGAAAACTGGTATAATTTTCCTGGTGACCTATTTCTGGGTGTGGTGTTGGACATTGTAGGCTTTTGTCTGCACTGTCCTGTTGAACAGAGCAAGGGGTGCCTGCTATCACAAGACTGGGCAATAGAAACTCCCCCAAGAGCCTATGTCTGTTCTTCACCTCCAACAAACACTGACTTCTTTACTTCTCTTTTCTGCCTTTTTTTGCAAGGCTTAAATCTAGTGAGGATATCAAAATTCTATTTATTCATAGGAAGAATTGAAAAAATATTATGAACCTCAAGTGCCTGAAAAATAAAGGAATAATGAAGAGGAAAATAGGAGAAAGCCATTATACTACAAGCTCAGGTACAGTTTACCATGGCAGGAAAAGAGTTTCAGCTGGATTGTTTCAGTCTTTGTACTGAATGATTGACTTCTGCTGGCTTCACTACATCAAGCTTGCTTCCAACTTAATGTGGGAACCACTTTCTTTGAATGAGGGAACAAGAGAGGTTTGTGCTGCATGAGTAACACATGCTCTTTTCTTCTGTTGAAAAGAAGGCCATTTCTCTTATAACAGTGTTTAGTACTTAAAAGCAGTCATAACCTGCTAAATAAATATACTTGGGAATCTCCAGGCAGCATGAGGATGAGACCTCTCACCCTGCTAGTGCCCAAGCCTTCATCTAGCCTTGACTTTGAGGTCATGCCCATCTATTGTTTGCTGAGAAATTAAACTGAGCACAAACGCAGATCTTTGGAACAAGTGGCATAGAACCAGGACTACTGCATCTAAAGTATCCAATTCCTTGTGATTTCTGGAAATGTCATACATAATCTGTCTGCTACAAAGGTATCCACTTTTTTATATTCAACATATCAGGCTAGGCAGTCTTTTTCATGGGAATTGTCTCTTTCTTTATCTGCCAAATGAAGAGAGGATTTTCATGGCAATCAGAAAGTGTCTTATTCTCATCACACACACTGCACCCATTACTAGTTCCAGTGTTTTTCCATGTGAGTGTTTGTCTCTGGGAGCAGGAGGGTGGGGGTCACTCTATATCTCTCCAGCCACAGAATAGGACTGGAGGAGATTGGAGTCCTGACACTCAGGGCAACAGGGTTGTCCCCGGGCTCTCATTCAACAATGACTGTCTGCAATCAGAAAAATGAGGGAAGTGTGCAAGAAACACAATAAAGAGAAAGCAAGTGCTTCCTTCCAGAGCATTGTCCATACAGGCGTTTGGAAGCTGGCAGCCAGGAGGCAAACGTCAGAGGCTCACCTAACACACCTACGTGTGTGTGTGTGTGTGTGCGCGTGTGTGTGTGTGTGTGTGTGTGTGTATTTAACCTAACAACTGCCTTGTGCTGCCCCACAGCCTAATGTGAGCTGTGTCGTGAGGAAGGCATTTCCCAAGTCAAGCCTCCTGCGGTACATGGACAGAGCAAACCTGACAGAACAACCTGGAGGTGAAACAACCTGTCCACAGAGAAACAGCACAGCTACAGGAGTGGTTCCCAGGGAAAGCTATGACTCTTCCCCACTTCTGCCCCAGGGAGCCTGTAGGTGTCTATGTGTCTGAAGGGGAGAGCACAAAGGAAACAGCTCTCAAAGGAAACATCTGACAAAAGGCTGTGACCAAAGTCCCCTGCCAGGGATGGGAACTATGGTTTGGCATGACCACACCATTCTTGCCAAATATTTGACAGTGTCTCAGCAAAGAAACCTGCGGCTATATGATCCTGCTTTCCAGTACCAATATTTTGCACAACTCTGACTTAGAGTTTGGAGTGTAACAAGAGGCTACTTTATTTTTTTTTTTCTCTCCCCAAGAAATTTCTGTGGTACAAGAAGACTTGCAGGACAGTGAAGATTTCTATGAGTTGAGGTCGACACTGATGTTCCAAGGGACTCATAAGACACATAAGACATTCTCATGTGTGTGTCTGTGTCCCTTCCTGGGAAATGAAATGAAGATTATTTCATCAAAAGAAATATTTGTTTCCTTTGGTACATTTTTCTTTGATAGGACACAACTAAAATGTTAAGAACACCAAACACATGTATCCGCTTGTTATTTAAAATACTGAAGAAATGCCAACAGTATAAAAGCTTTATTGTACAAGTTCATCACACAGTTTGGACTCTCTGGCAGGTTTTTTGGCTCAAATATTTGCTCAAGCCTCTGAATGAGCTAAGAAACTTCTGCACAAACAGAAGACACTTGTTTGTTTAGGCAGAATCTTGCTGTACTTCCCATGCCCAAAAATACTCTAATATAGCCACATGGCACTAGTGAGCTATTATAATGATGTGTTTCTCATGGACCACTCATGGCTCCCTGGGAAAACAAATCCTCAGACTCAGGGATTATACACCTTCAGTAAAACATGCAAAAGGCTGCACCTCTGTGGATAGTCGAGAAACTCCCTTATAATCTGTACTGTAAGAATTAGCTACATGATTAGGGAAGTGGGGAGAAATACTGTCCTGTTTCTTTGGTAAAAGCAGGATTCTTGGTGGCACAGTTTTCAGCACCTCTGAGGATGCAGGGTGACTGGTGAGAAGGGGAGACAGATTTCCTTTAGCACCCTCTTGTGCATGTCTCCTCTTACGTGCAAATGCTTATTTATATCTTTTTTTTTTATTATTATGTGTGCTCTCTGCTGCACAGACAATACAGCTGAGCTGCTGACACCTTAGCAGCATCTAGGGGCATGTCACCTCTCAGGGCAACTATTTCAGCTCAGCTGGGTTCTCTTGTGGCTGTGTATATTCCTATTGATATGTTTTTCCACAAAGTAAGACTGTAGCAAAACCCACAGCTTACTCCTCTGTAAACACAGCTTCAGAGAAGAGAGAGATAAATCATAAATTTTTCTCAAAAATTACTCATTTCTTCCAATTTGTAGTTTTCTATAAATGTATTCCTATCGAAGAGCTGTCAGTTAAAGCTGTGTTCTTGCCAGGAGGCTATGCTAATGCTAAGATAGATCCACTCTGTATAAAAATGTTAAAGTATTTAGATGTGATAGAAAAGAAAGTATTACTTTCATTTTCAGCTATTCCTTCTGTGAAGGTGCACAATATAAAACAAGCCCAAACTAAATTTTCAGCCCTTATAACTACTTTTAAGAACTGCTCTAATCTTTCTCTTTTTTCTCCCGTCACAGACAATAAGTCTAATGAAGCTTCAGCTGAAATTTTTACTACCACGGTTTCAGATGGTAGGATAAATTAGAGAATAAAATAACTTGGGTTGTGTTTGAGGTCTGTTTATAAAGTCCTAAAGCTGTTGTAGCATTTACTACTCTAAATGGGTAGTAAGGAACCCCTTTCTGCAGCTTTGACTTCAGAGAAAATACTACAAACCAATATTCTGGTGATGTAATCTGTTATAATTAAGACCAAGCGTAATTAAACTCCAGCCTTGAGAGGTACTTAATGTTATTTCTGATGCTGCAGCTGGCCTTCGAATATCGCTCGCACTTTTGGCAAGTGCTGGTTGTAGTAGGCCCTGGGGGCTCAGCCAATACCCCACTGGGTGCCAGAAAACCATCCCAGATACTGGGGGACCCTGAGAGAGGGAGACTTTTTCCTCTGCTGGCCTCTGCAAGGTGAACTCTCAAAGGAAGCCTAGCAGCTCGCATCAGACCACCACCCTTCTTTGTCTTGTACACTCTGCAGAACCCTCTGGGAACCAGGCACATCTCAAAGACCCTCACTGCTCTGGTTTTTAGGCCTGTTGCATCTTTGGTAAGGAATCCTTTATATCAGCCAGCTACTGTGAAATCCCTGTTAGTGCAGGCAAGGCTCAGCTGAAATGCAAATGAAAGAGCAGCAGTCACAGGAGGTACAAGTATTAGCACAAAAAAGCAGCTGGAGAGTGCATGGTCATCTGCCTATGCTAAGATCCAGTCTGCAGTCCCACCTGTGCAACACCACTCAATGCCCTCCACACATGCCTGACCAGACAGAGGTATTTTCTGGCTGCCTTCCCAGATATATTTTTCTAATGAAGTGTGTGAACTTTAATAGGTCACTTCCTTCACGGACCTTTTTGGGGGGACATTATCCATCCTTCTGGCTTACTCGGGAAGTACTTCACCTCTCCTGCTGGGAAAAAATAGGAAAGAAAACAGACATCTAGGGCATATATGCTGCTTGGGCAGGATGGTGTCTCTGCTGAGCTTGCCTGTGTGGTTAACAGTTTTTAATTAGAAGGAATAATTCTCCCTCCTCTTCTCTGAGGACTCAGTGAGCACTTTTCAGTGCAGTGTGTCCCTGAAATTTCCTCTCAGAGTTGCAGCCTCTGAAGTGCCTCACGGATGAAACTGTTCAGGCACCACCACCAGGTCATAAATGTTGTTTCAGCATCTGTGCTAATACAGTGCACCTCTTTTTATGGAATAAACCCATGTGATTCATTTCTGGTTTTTAAGCTGAGGTGCCAGGGGCTCCAAAGTTTTTTCCCCAAAACCTTTGTTTCTCCAGGGATTTCTCAGCACAGTTACTTCAGGTATTTAATGTTTCTTTCTGGACTACTTGGCTGAGTTGTGCATGGAAAGATTATTTGGAATTTAGGTGTGATACACTTTCTTGCTCCTGAACCTTTCAATCACCCACTTTCCTAAAGCAGAATAAAGACCTTTCTCATGCTGAATGTTTGCTTTGATTTGTTATAGACTTCAGTAATTCGACACTTACATCAGCTGTTATGACAGCCTCAGGTAAGGGGCAAAATATTACTTATTCAATATATGTAGGATCTCTACTTTACCACTGCCTAAACGTCATGCACACAGAGTCAGAGGTGTGGCAGGCAAAGGTCAGTATGTTCTGGTGCTGACAGCACCAATGTGCTGCTGCTTGGGAAGTTGTGAGCTGTGAGGTTAGCCAAGCAGAGATATGAAAGAAATCTTGCTAAAATTGCCATGTTAGGACAGAACGTTAAATGGCATGCTGAATGTTATATATAATTCTTACCTATTCTTATAAAATTGAATAATTGGCCTATAAAACTGTAAATAAATTTTTCCTATTGGGACAGAGAGGTGCATGTGATAGAAAAGTTAAAGCCATCACTTTTCTTTGACCCAACAGCAGGGCATCATTCCCATTCATCAATTATATAACTAACTCTGTTTTACCAGAGCATGGATATGGATAATTACATAGAACTACCTTCAGCAGCTGAGAGGAAAACTCACTAGAGCAGGTGATCTCCTGGGCTGATGTGGCTGTGGCCTGCTGTCATGGACGGTTTCTAGCAAGGCCCTGGTATAGCTGGGGAGCACCACGTTTAAGTGCGCAATCCACTCCACAGCAGTCAAACCAAACCCTGTGTACAGAAGCACAAATAAGCAATGCCAGCAGCCAGCCAGCAGGAAAGCGTCAGCATTGATAACATCAGCTGCCTTGCAAGTGCCCACTGGAGTTGTGAAATGTGCTTTGAGCATTTAGCCTTAACTCCCACAGCAGGATTTCTGCTGCTCAGTCTGCATTTACCCAATAGCTACTGCAAGGTCGTCGATCTAGGTTGTTTTGTAATTTATTAACATTATTTTCTGAAGAATCTATTGACTAAATGTGATACCATGTTAACTGTCTTTAGAGCACCAGTCGACATCTGTGGCCTCTCTGGATTTCACAAGTCCAGCAAATTTGACTCCTGCTTCCACAACACAAGGTAATCAACTGTTTTCTCTATTGCTTCAACAGTGTAGAAGAAAGACACATAAACACAATAACTATCTTACTTTTTTGGAAGCAATACATTTAATGTCCATTGAAGTTCTTTTCCTAGCGCTTTGTACACTAACCACTAACCAGTGGTTACTCTAACCCCTGTCAGTGTAACCACAGTTCAGGAATAAATATATGAGAAAATACTGTCTTGATTTTATCTTTTTTAATGCTCTCTTTAGGATACATTCATTAATTTTGGCAGCTGAACAGACATCGAGTGTTATTAGTGTTTACAAAGAAGTTAATTAGTGTTATTATGGTGGTTATGAAGAATACCTACTGTTTTTAGTTAAATATCATACCTAAATAGAACACGGGAGGAAGATACTAAACACAAGGCTTTGGCCTGCCCCAAAAGAGTGCTCTTTGGGAGCTGAATCCCTCAACATAAAGCCCAGGGGCTTGCAGAGGCTTGACTGAGATATGCCGAGGCAGGAACACAGATTGCAGCTGAAATGAAAATTTGCTGCTTCTCAAACTGCCTTCCCCATCCCCAAAAGAGAGACATTTGCCTGGCTGACAGCAGAACACCAAAGCTGCTTGTCCAAGTGGACTGGAAGCCCTTCCATGTCAACAAAAATAATTCATAACAAAGGCTATAAATATGCAATGTGAAGAGAGAGGGTTCTCCTTGCTGAATTATAGATTTTCCCTGGTTGAGGTGGTGCAAGGTCAAACTTGCAATGTAAGATGGATATGAGCCATTTTTCTTCTGCAAGTAGCCTGGGAAGCAATTGCCTTTTAGCCAGTGATCCCAACATGTGCCAGTTACGGTACGACAGCCCTGGGTTAGCACTTCTCAGGTCTGACTCACTGCTGGTCCTCACACTGGTGACACCAGTGTGCTTAAGATCAGCTTCTTGAGCAAATCCTCTGGGCTGCAGTCAAGACAGGACACCAAGCTCAAACCTTCTGTTTTGAGTCTACTGGTTTGGTTCATTCCTGTTATTTGCAAGTGAAAATCTAAGAGACAGCTGAAAATGCATATGAGAGAAGAATGCACATATATAGGCAAGAGGAGGAAGAGGGGGAGCAAAACCAAGGCTGCTAAAACTGTAGCCTGATTTTGCTTAGTTGCCACAACTGCTCCATCACTGAGCCAGAGATGCTTAGGCTTTGAATGATCAGTTAAAGCTGCAGTTCACCTTTGCAGGTTTGTTCAGATGGCTTGATATTTTTCCAAAATGAGACAGTTGTTAAGAAATATGGATTCTTTTTAGTAAATGTGAAATAGTTCTCTTGGGAAAATGAAGGTCTACGTGCTAGCTACCATCTATCTGTGTTTGAATATCAGATAAATACCTAGCTGAGCTCTAGACACCTTAGCAATTAAAAAATGCTTAAAGGAAAATGTCAAATAAGTTGGTATTTGGTATCAGACATTACAGGTGTGACTCTTGTACTATAACTTTTTCAAAACTTCCTTTTGCTAGTTGGGAAAACAGTTCTATTTCACTGGAGCCGGTGACATCCTGTCTAAATTCTGATTTATGTATGTTTGTTCATTGCTCTACTGGTTTCAGTTCAAAACCAGCCAGTACACTCAAGCTCCTGAGGTTCGCATGAAAATAAGATGAAATATAAAAATGCTTCAAATGGTTTTTCTAAGTTTATTTACCTATCTCAGTAAAACTCCTCTTGAGTTTCTAACTTGTGATAAGCTTTCAAACCTGACGCAGCTTTGTGTAATGCCTGTGTGAGGAAAGCCAGCATCTCAAGTAACGGGCTACACCTGTTTGACCTCGTTAGTCAGAAAGCAGGGAAGAAAGAGGGGGGTAAATGAAAAACAAGTGATATGGTTCCCTACAGCAATTTTTACAAGGCTTTGTGCTTTTCAGCAGGAGCGCTAATTCTACCTCAGAGGCAAAAGGCTATACCAGTGCCTTTGACAACAGCACGTGAGTAGACAACACATCTCCTTTGCTTCACAGGACTACAGCAAAGGAGTTCTGAAGCCAAAGTGCCAATGTGGCACCAGCTTAGTGAATGTTGGGTTGCAAACCTACAGTAATCTGGAGCATCTTGTAAAAACCACAGCAGAAGGTCCTCCGGGGCTCAATTTGTGATGCCTTCTCTCAGAGCATTAGTTCTGTGGTGCTTATTTTCAGCTGCTAGTTGAGAGTCACCACATTGCCATGCAAAAATTATTACTAAGCATGGAAAACTTGTGTCTGAGCAGAGGCCAAACTCATGTGGAGTAACATGTACCAGATTTTCAATACTTCACAGAAGCAATTCCCCTGTTGAGTTCCACTGAGTTAGAAGATAAAGGCTTGGGTTGCCAAGCTGTCGAGGATTTGCAGTGGCAAAAGAGGAATGAAAAAACATTTGAGTATCCTGGTTTCATTAGACATATTTATTTTCATAATATTACAATTGAGATAGTTGCTAGGCAAATGTAGTGAATGCTGAAGGTAGTTTATAGATGAAATAAATTGCCAGAGAAGCTAAATAAAATTGCAGAGCAGCAGTGAAATAATGAGATAATGTGAAGTAATAAAGGCTGGCTAATAGAACATTGAAAGACAGCCTCATTAAAGATCAATAAATCAATAAAAAAACCCATAGGGTGAACATTTTTTCACTAGTCTTTCCCTTCAGAAAATCTCTGCAGTATAAAGCCCAAAGTGACTTCCTTTTTTAACATCTTGGTTTGCATTTGTGGTTTTGGAAAAAGCAGGACTTGTCAATGTGCTTTTGCATTTCCATGGGAGTTGTCTTTTGGCTGAGGCACAAATGTAGCAGCTGCTTTCCATTTTGTGAATGCATTTTTAGTAGCACCCACAACCATGCAGTTATACCACAACCTTGTGACAGCTTCTAATGCTCCACAATTCTGCTCTTGCACAGCTTGCTGGTTGCAATTTTTTCTAAAAGCATGCTGAATTACTCTATTATTTGCAGGGGATACTGTGTGTTGCTCCACTCATCCCCACATCCCCGCCACTGCTTCCCTATACCTGTGCCTGCCTGAACACCAGCTAAGAGATAATGGCCTTGAAGGGTCCTTGGTCCAGCAGCTGTAATTGAGGGCAGTTTCAGAGCACACAGGCACCAGTGAGTCTGCTGAGGCATACACATGAACCCCTGTGCCCTTCTGGGGTCCCTGGGCTCCTACAACAGTGATTACCATTATCATTGTGGTCTGGGATGCTCTAACATAAGCCATTATGTAAATAGGAATAAATAATGCTCATCAATGTGATGTATACAGCACAGTCCGATCGGATTTCTAAGTGTATATTCTTTTTTTTTTGCATATAACTTTGTAAAATGCTATGCATTTTACAAATGTGAGATGTGTCATACCTATTCACTTAAAATCAAACACCTAATAAGCAAGTAGAAAAGAACTGAATTAACATCCAAAAATCTCAGTTTTTAGCGTGCCCTAAAACTGCATCTTTTTAATGCACACATACACACACACACACACACACACACACACTTGAACTCTCAATTTCAGTCAAAGCCAGCAAGCATCTCACAATAAAGAGATTTTCTTGGTTCTGTCTGGTTAGTAATTTACATAATTTAAAGCTAGGTTTTTGTCTTGGATTTTTAAATCAGCAGTTATAGCAGAGACTGTCAGGTTCCTCTGTTGTTTCATTTGTTGTGTGCATCAGAGAAAGTCAGAGTCAAAAACAGCCACAGCAGAGCCTAATGAAGTAATCGTGTACAGTTTTGTAAGACAATTGAAGGTCATTATTTCTTTTTATACAAATTTGAATAATTTCACCACTGGATCCCCATATCAGAAGTGCCATGGGAGCTCTGGAAATGCTGTGCCATTGTCTAGATGAGTATTTAACAATTATTTCAGAAGCTGTGAATGTAGAGATGGCTAGAAAAAACAGAAATGTGTCCCTTATGGGGCACTGATCTTAACCATCAGTAGGAAAGGAAAAAACTGTCTATAAACAGATGGTAGATGATTTTTGTGGGTCAGACAGAAAAATCATCTGTGGTTCTTTAGGTTTCTCATTACCATCAATGAGGTAAAGCTTATCATTCTCCCAGACAGCTCTGCTGCTCAAAGCTGCCTCAATGCTGGCTTGCTGGAACATCTTAACTTCCTTCCTTCCTTCCTTCCTTCCTTCCTTCCTTCCTTCCTTCCTTCCTTCCTTCCTTCCTTCCTTCCCTCCCTCCTTCCTTCCCTCCCTCCCTCCTTCCTTCCTTCCTTCCTTCCTTTCCCTTTCCCTTTCCCTTTCCCTTTCCCTTTCCCTTTCCCTTTCCCTTTCCCTTTCCCTTTCCCTTCCTTCCCTTTCCCTTCCTTCCCTCTCTCTTTCCCTTCCTCTTCCCCCTTTCCTTCTTATAATATTTCTTTTGATAAAAGCACATTTTTTTAATCCGACACCAGGTCATAGACCAAAAATGTAGGTATCTTGCCAAGTGAATTTTTACACCCTGATCCTGGAAATTTCTGACTTTGGAATTTTCAGCTGGGTGAATAACAGAGGGTTCAAAACAACCTTCATAAAAAAAACCCAAAAAACCAAATAAGTAACTAAAAATGTTCTGTGCCCATATCTTTATAGGTAACCTGTCCTACAGCATCACAGATCAGACAATTTCAGTTACCAGAGGAAAAGATTTCTTTCCTACCAGCAGCCTGCTGAACAGTACTGGTAAGATGTTATCCTGCATATCCTCTTCTTTCAGCATGCCACTGCAGAAGCACGAAACCTGGAGCATCACATCCATTTGACCAAGAGATTCCAAAATAAGGGAAAAGAGATGAAAAGAGGAGTCACAGCTTCTGTATCCTAATATCACAGGTTGGCACAGGCTTTTGGTATTCCAGCCTTCTCCCTCCATCTGCAAGTAAAGTTCCAGTGCATGCTTTCTTCCAGCAGCAAAATTTGGCCAGTAACACTCCTGTGCCCCAGGGAAAGCTCATGGCTCACGCAGCATGGTGGACTGGCCACAGCACTGGTTGCCATGGTGGGTAAGACCCTGCCTGGGTGACACACCAGTGTGGCCAGCCTTGCACAGGGTGGTGATGCTAGCTTAACGGGCGTTGACACTGAGGAGCATCACCCATGGATCTCTCTGGCACCCAGGCCACTGCTGCACCCTCTGGCAGCTGGAGGAGGACTGTGCTCCTTCTTGTCTTCTTCTCCACAGCCAGGACCTGAGGGCACCTCTGTCAGCATCCCCAAGGGTGGCTGTGCAGAAGTGGGAAGGGGAGGGCAATCCCAGCACTGCAGTGGGGAGAGGCAGCTGGAATGGGACTGGGAAACTGTGCTGCTGACAAGAGCTCACCTCAAAAGGCAGCTGAGCCCTTGGCCAGATGTTTTGGCAGGGTCTGGTGTCAGTGGTGTGAAAAATAAACCATTGGGAAGGAGGGCAAGGGTTGGCAGATGTGCCTGTCTGCACTGTGACATGCAGCTTCTTGCAGAGCAGCTCAGAGGGGAACAGAGAAAGCCAATGCGGTTTGGATGAAATGCTCTCTGGGCTGTGCCTAAATAATCTTGAAAAGTGAGCCAGTGGGTGTCTGAAATCAGCTCACACACCCAGTCAGAACAAAAGTGGGCTAAGTCCGTAAATCAGAGCTGCAGTGCTCAGAGTTTGGGAACCTCAGCCTGGTGATGAGTGGCTGCACTGACAGCAGCGCTATGCAGAGCAGGGAGCAGTAAGCCCCAGGCACCAAGCCCTGATTTCCCTCCTCTCTGAGGACCTTCAGATGAGCTCCATGTGTCCCTTACATGTGACAGGAGGAACGCCAAAGCCAGTGGCTTCCCCTGGCCAACAGTAGTAGCTGTCCTGCTCCTCCTCTGCAGCACTCTGGTAGCTTTAGGTATCAAGAAATGGTGTCAGTACCAGAAAGAGATGTGAGTACCAGTGAATGGAGCCATAGGGGTGGGAAGGGTGGCATAGAGGGCAGCACCAACTCTAACCCAGCTGTTTGGATTTATACCTTTTCATTTGAGACGACTCATAGCACACAAGGCCTTTAAGTACATGGATCATTAATGCCATTTTTCTCATACAGCAGTATGTAGAGTTTTCTCAGTCCTTTCATCTGTTCTGTGGGTTTTCTTTAAAATAAACTATAGAAAAGAGCTGCAGTGCAGCTTCAGGGTGTAAGGGAAAAATAAAAGTCAATTTTTGTCCCCAGAGCCCCCCATTTCTATTAGCCTCCCTGCCAGCTGCTTTTGCTCTCTCATTTTCTATGGTTACTTGAGGACATGTTTTAATGAAATTGTACTTCTAGGGCAGGTCCATTTGAGTTTTGAATGATATATGTTAAAGTAGGCTACCCAAAACTCAATCCCAGTCAAAAAAGCATGGAGTGTACAATTATTACCAAAGTTTGATTCCCTACTAAAACACTCTAAGATCTACTGGCGAAAGCAATATCTAAGAGGCAATTATTTTAAATCTTACCAACATTATTAAAATACTCAAAAAATCATAGTTATAATTAATCACCTATGATTCTAGAAAATCCTCTTAAAACTCAACTGTAAATCCTGTATATCAAAGATAAAAACAAGATTTATTTTTTTAATTAATTTGAGGTGGGACCTTTATTCATAAATTGATCAAAAAAAGTTACAAGTCTTTAAATATACTTTCAGAGAGCAGTGTGAGCAAAAGACCCATGCAAGGATTTTGAATAGTTCATCAGGACCACGTTTAGTTCTTTTAAAACATGAATGAAATAAAACTGTGAGGTGGGAGCTAAGAAAGCCAAATTAATAGCAGAAGGTGTCCTGGGGTTATAAAACAGACTCAGGGAAGTCACAGTATGTAAGAGCTAATGTCAGGTGCTCTTATAATGACTTAGTGCCAATCCACCTCCTCCTGTGAACATTTTACAACTATCTTTTATGCTACTTTCATGCGACAGTGCATTTTCTCTCTTCTATTTCAGTATGAACAGACCTCCATCTTTTAAGCCACTGCCACCTCCAATAAAGCACACCTCCATGGTAGAGTCTGATGGGACTTCCCCATCCTGCCATGAACTAGAAAGTCTGTAACACCACCTGCACCCCTTGTGTAGCACACAGAAGACTAGCACAGTTAAAAGGCCCTGCCTTTGGAACAGTGGTGGTACAGGAACTTGGTGGTAATGACCCATATTAAAAATCAGAGCTCCTACATGAAATTAATTTTGGAAGCTGAGCACTTCTTGGGAGACTCCTTTCATCCTGTGTATCTCTATGTATGCACTACATTCGTAGTAAGTGTCGCTGTGAGATTACACATGCTTAATTTGAATTGGGTGATGAACTAGGAATTTGCTATCTTGTCCATGGTAACAGATTAACACGTGAGTCTGCCAGCCTGACTGAACAGTGTTGAAGCTTGTCCATCTATTCAATGTATAGAGATGAAAACTCTGCTGTATGAACATCACAGTTACACAGCAAACAGTGGCTGAACACAAGATTTTGAGACCTACACGAGTTGTTATTGCAATTATTTCTTTTCTATTGTGGACTAATATAACCCAACATGTAATTTTCTATCACTGTGAAACCAAAAGAAAGAATCAGCACCATACACAGGCAGAAAATACCCTGCATCTCTTGGCACAGGATTGCAGCACTGGATCATGGAGGGTGGTTGGTGAGATGAAAGATCACCAGCCCTGGCGCAAGTGTGTGCAGAGAAGTCCCAGCTGTCATTGGTGAAGTCACAAGAAAGTCAATTTTGGTCCAGAGTCTTAAGGACTGAAGCAAGCCTAGAGTTAATGGAAAATTCTAGTCCTTTTGGAAGCGCTATGCCTTTGAAATAATACTTACTTTTAAGTCTGCTTTTCAGAAATTATATTTACAGTATATGTGAAGGAAAGAAATGTACTACTTTTATTTTTCTTTGGTCTTAATGAGCTTTCATCACATGCTATCTTCACATTTTCCAAGACCTTAGGGGCAGTTTCCCAGGTGAACTTAAGCCTAAACTTAAGCCACAGGCTTAAGCCTGTGAAAGAGATGATCCAGTCTTCCCCCTGTCCTGCCCAATCTACAGATTTCCTCATATTGACACTAATGAATAAATGATGGTGCAGTGGGTGGGCTTGGCTTGGCCCTCTGCACAGCTCTCAGCCAGGTCAGCAGCTGTGTGATCACCAGTGCAAGGCACCAGAGCTGCAGGAGGAGCTCTGCTTTTGGCAGCAACTGCGGTACCTTCAGGCAGCCAAGAAACCATCCCTCTGAGCTTGTTTAGAAATGTATTGTTACCGCAATGGTATTTCTGTAATTAATGCAAATCAGCTAAATTTCAATTATGTCAGGCTTAAAATTGATATTTTGATTTAGGAATGGGATTTGCTTTATTTACTGCTAAACACTGGTCAATGACTGTCAGGGTTCAGAGCACTGTATTTCCTGGGACTTTAGATTAAATGAATGGCTTACTGGAAAAAATGATCTAACAGACCTTTTTTTAGAATATTTTGTTGTATTATTTATGTTGTAGTAAAACAGTTCTAAATCCATCATCTGTGCTGAACAGAAAACACTTTTTTTTCCTACAAAACCATACTGACCTTCTATGCATGGAAATGTCGATGTTAATTTGAGTATTTCTTGTCTGTGTTGTAGAAGGACAGTAGTTTAACTTTTGTCATGTTACCAATCACTGCAAAAGAAGGCAGTTTGTTGGCCTTGAAAGCAAATTGGAAAAAACCCACAAACAAACAAACAAACAACATCAAAAAACTCAAACAGATGGATAATAATATTCCAAGGGGTGTGGAGAGCCAGGACGTTCTTCCTAGCCAGGACGTTCTTCCTTGTCATTAGACCACTATTCATAGCATATAGACTGAAGGGGGCTATTTTATTGTCTCGGGTATTCTGATCCCCACGGTTGCTTCTGGCTGGAGATGTTCCCTCTGACCGTGAGCAGCACTTATGGGTGTCACCGCTCCCTGCAGTGAGCGCCGCTACCCGACCGCACATTCCCGAAGGCTGCTGCTGCAGTCTCTGCAAGCGGTGCTCCGCAGGATAACGATGCCCGGGAGAGCTGCCCTGGCTGGGGCGCTCCCGGCCTCTCCCGAGGGCTTTCCTCTCAAATCCCTGCGCCAGGACACCCGGGCGGGCACGGCGCCCGCGCTCCCGTCACTCACCAGTAGGTGGCGTCGCGGCACCGCGCCCGGCGGCGAGCGGGGCCGCTCCCGCCTCTCGGCCTGCCCCGTCCCTTCCCCGTTCCTGCCCATCCTCCCCTGTCGTCCTGCCCCGTCCCTTCCCCGTTCCTGCCCATCCTCCCCTTTCGTCCTGCCCCGTCCCTTCCCCGTTCCTGCCCATCCTCCCCTTTCGTCCTGCCCCGTCCCTTCCCCGCTCTCCCCTCTCGTCCCTCCCCATTCCCACCCCACCGGCAGCAGCGCGGCAATGCGGCGGTGTCCCTCCCCACCCCGGGGCGGAGGGACGGGCACAACGAGTGTGCCTGCCCTCCTCTGCCGGCTTTAGAGAGGGAACAGGGAAAGGGGCAGCCAACAGATTGGGACCCGAGGGAGGAAATTCCCCCGGTGCCAGCCCTATCTTCCTGGTTTTCTGCAGGTAAATTTGGTGTAGGACGGTTTATGTTTCTGTTTGCCTCTATCTGCTCCTCACCACGATAAGAATGGAACATATCATTCACTCTATTTGAAAAGTGCATATTAAATGGCTCTACACAGATATTTACTATGTATTACGTTGTATTGATTAGTAGTGCTGCATTAACATTTTAATAGTATGATAAATGTAGTTTTGTGGTTAGAATCTAACTTTTGTAGTTAAAAGAGAAACTACGTATGTGGAATATTTTTTTAAAGAAAGAAATGAGGTACTCGCACCAGACAGCAGCCACAGGACACATAAATCTTTCAGAGGAAGAGAATTTATTGCTCCATTATCAGAAGAAACGAACTTCTTCCTGCCTTGCTCAGCCATAAGATGCTGTTAGGATTAAGATGAAGAAGTTAACATTGACCAGACAGAATGCTTTGTTTGAATGGAATTTATGCATCATGTATGAGATGTATGAATATGCAACAGGCTATTGCTTTTAAGGTTTAATCCTCTGTTAATGTGTGTCCTTTTTTGTGTGTCCTTTTTCAGGCTTATTTTGCCCAGAAAGAGGTACCCAGACTGTCTGTAACTCTTTGTTTTCATGGTCTTGTATTGTCCTAATCTCAATTGTTCAAATTTTTATTACTCTAATTATATTACTATTTTTATAACCATTTTATTACTATTAAACTTTTAAGATTTTAAAAACAAGTGATTGGTATTTTTCACACTAAAGAATTGTAATTTACTTCAAAATTGACCCCTACCTTAAAGAAAAAAAAATAAACAAAAAAAACCAAAACAAACCCACAACAACAAAAAAACTCCAAACAAACAAACCGAACGCAAACAAACAGAAACAAAAACAAAAAACCTACTCAACTGCAGTAACTTCAGAACTTCAGCTGTCCTATCCCTGGAAGTGTTCAAGGCCAGGCTGGATGGGGCATTGAGCAACCTTGTCTAGTGGAAGATGTCCATGCCTATGGCAGAGGGGTTGGACCTTGATGATAACTTCAGGATTTCTTTAAACCCAAACCATTCTACAATTCAGTGATTATTTTTAGCAGCAGCTGCCCCACTATGAAAGCTGGAATCATTGGCTTGGACTTGGGTTCTGTCAAATCTGAAATTATTTGGCAGATCTAGTTACCAGATGGTTGAAGGTGGCTATGGGAGTATTAGATAAAAACTTTTCTCTAAGTGGAAAACGTTCAAAGCTTGCTGTGTGGATATAGTAAAGATTTTTAAAGAGAGTCTTAAATGTTTGTCATGGTTTAACCGCAGCTGGGAGATCACTTTCACCAGTAGGATGCTGAGAGAACTGAAAGAATAAAAGTGGGACTCGTGTCAAGAATCCCAGCCAAAGGACACAAGATGAGAAAATCAACGAACAGGGTTTTTGGGAAAATGGGATTGAGAAAGAGTAATTGCCAGAAAAAGCCCCAAGAAAAACCTCCCCAAGATCCTGAGAAGGTTCTGCCTGAAATCGCGAGGGGAAGCCTGTTGGGATGGATGTTAGAACACTGGGACAACAGCCCCAGGAGGGTGGGAAAGTCCAAGGAAAAGATTATACATTTTTGTATGGAAAAGTGGGGGGGAAAGGAGATTGCGAAATACGTGGTTTGGCCGGTGTTCGGCACTTTCGAGATATGGATGTGCGAATCCCTGTACAACCATGTAGTTGATCACTGCCTGCAGGACTTTGAGGAAATTGAGTACTCTGAGATGTGGAAATACGCTTGTTCAGGGTTATACCTGATCAGAGCCCTCAGACGCTCGGCAAACTGGGGCAAGGTGTGGGAACTGCTGGAAAACCTTCCACCACCATACCTTGTCCCTCCGCCCCAGCCCGCGCCAGCACAGGTACCTCAGGTGCCCACATTGTCTCCCAAGGCGTCGATCCCGCAGGGACAGGCTTCGGTGCCACCACTCCCACTGGAGCTGGCCGCAGCACCTTCTCTCCCACGTGGGCAGGCAATGGCGCCTTCGCTCCAATGCAAGCAGCCACAGCCACCGACCCTTCCCAAGACTGAGGAGAAACAGGTATTTCCCTCAAAGAAAGCAAACTCTCCTCCTGCCCATTGAACGAGGAGGAGAACGAGGAGGGCAACCACTGGAGATAGTGATGGCAAGGAGGAAAAGCCCGGTGTCTTCCCTTTCCAGGAAGTACCGCCAGCTCCAGGGGTTATCGGCTTTGTACATGCGCCAATCAACACCGGGGACATGAGGGCTTTCAAGAAAGAGATGGGGAAGCTAATGGATGATCCTTTGGGGGTGGCAGAAAGGCTAGATGAATTTCTAGGAACCAGCACCTACATGTAAGAGGATCTCAATGCGATCCTGAGGTTGCTGTTCAACAACAAGGAGAGGGAAATGATCAGACAAGCTGTGATCAAGGATTGGGAGCACAGGAATCCCCAGGGGGAGCGAGGAGATCAGAAGTGGCAGGACCAAAAGCCATTTTGGAACACCCAGAC